ACTGTACTGGGGAGGTGAACAAGTGATCAGGGTGACCTTCACCCTGCAGTCATTTAGAGACCCAGTCTAACAGAGGCACTGCCTTCTTCAATGCATGGCTCCCAAGGTCACCTTGGGGACCATCTTCATTCCAGACGGCCAGGCAGAGACAGAGTATGGAGCAGCACACATGGAGGGTTTGATGTGCCAAAGACTATGTAATGTAACCCAGATGTAGTTATTTTAAAGCTAGTTCTGTGCAGTTTTTTTTCATGTCTCTCTGTCATTTCAAAAAAGATAGAGTTAGAGGAAGCCTGATGTTCAGATGCAATTAAACCTCATTTATTCATAATGGAAAAGAGCTTTGGAATTCTAGAAGGTTAGAGATGAAAATGGATAGGATTGAAGTTTTTAGAATCAATGCAAGCAAAGAAGTTGACCAAATCACAGGCCACAGAATTAGGAGGCTGTCTTTGAATACTGCACATAAAAAGTTATTCTAGGGCATGTAAAGCAATATAGTACAATTTTAGAATAATTATAAATTCATTAACTACTACTGTTTAGCATCATATGACAGAGACTGACATACATGTTTCCATTTGATCTTTACAATAACTCTTCAGGACAGTGCAGTGTGGTGATTAAACATGTGGGCTCTAGGGCCAAACTGCCTGGGTTTGAATTCTGATTCTTCTACTTAGTAGCTGAAAAACCTTGGATAAGCAATTAAGCCTTCCCTGACTCAGTTTTCTCCACTATAAAATGGAGGTAATAATAGTAACCCAGGTCATGGGGTTAATGTGAGGATTAATGCATTAACAATCTTAAACCCTGAGAACAGTGCCTGGCACATAATAATAACCTTTCATCATCCTTATTATTTATCCATTAACACATGAGACTATTGCATTTCAGAATGAATAAGAGACTTGCCCAATGCCACATAGTAATTAGTAGAACTGGCGGTTAGAAGGTATGTCTGTTCGAATCAAAACACCTGTCCTTCCCACTGTGGCAGGTCTAAAGTGAGTTATGAACTAATAAAAGATGGGCTACACACCATTATCAGTTTTCTAGGGTAATTGGGAATACTTATATTATGGTTAGAAGTAGGGAGAAACTGCTCAGATCTGAGTAGGAAGTTCTAGAAGTGCCTAGTATCGTGGTTAAGAGACAAGTTCTAAAGTCAAGAGTGCCTAGGTCTTGATCCCAGTTTCAAGTTGTATGAGCTCCTTAAGCAGGTTAATTCACCTTTCTGTGTCAGTTTCATAATTAGTAACATTGGGGATAATAATGTTGCCCAATGGATCAGTGGAGAGTAACAATAAGGCATAAGCAATAAACACCCTGGTTAACTCACTATCGGGGAGTCTAGAGATGGTTCAGAAGGGTAACAATCTCATGAAGGACCAAGGCTCTTTGCATCTTTCTACTTGGTTATCCTCTTCACACAGCAATATACTGAGAGAGAGAAAGGGAGGGAGAGAGGGAGAGGGAGAGGGAGAGAGAGAGAGANGAGAGAGAGAGAGAGAGAGAGAGAGAGAGAGAGAGAGAGAGAGAGAGAGAGAGAGAGATTCTCAGAAGACCCATCTCCCTTAATCCATTGGCCGGATGTGGGTCCCTTAATCACCTCCTAAACCAGTCGTAGACAAAAAGGGATGGGACTCTATAATTGGGTTAGACTAATAGACCAATCATAGTCCATTCTCTGAACTACGCATGTTGTCACCTGAACCAAATCAGAGTTTGCTTACAAAAAAAAGAGGATGGGAGAGTGCTGTTGAAGAATAAGGGTTATGATACTGCGAGAGTCTGGGAAATGCTTATCTCAGTGCTCTGGCTTAGTGAGGACTCAATAAAGGTTAGCTTTGCCAACTCCCTGAGGCTGACATTCCAGAGGGCAATTCTGTGTGCTTGCGCACGCGAACACATACACACACACACACACGCACACGCACACGCACACGCGCACACACACACACACACACACCAAAAACTAGACCTTTCTATTGTTTTAAAAACAGAACAGATCACTGAACTTGATGGATCACAGGCCTGGCTCACAGAATTTTGGATGTTCTTACAGGTCCCTTTGCATGGCAAAAACTCCCACACTTTAAAAATGTTTCTGTCTTTTGTCCTTATCCAGAGGTGTGAAGAGAGGGAGTTGGACCAAGCTGCTGTAAGCTTCATCCTACATGTTGAAGGGGTTTATCCCACAGCGCTCCTGGATTAAACTGCATCCATTTGCTGGCAAAAGAAGCTCCTGTAACCCATGTTTGTGTTGAAAACAATCACTGTTCAGAATTCTACAGATTTATTCTCCTTACATTCAGATTCACAGCAACAGCTGGGAAGGATCAAGAACACTAGATGCATGACAACCAGCTATTGCCACAATAGTGGTACCTAACAAATGCCCCCTCTGCCCCAGCTTGGTGTCATTCAACAATGAGCATCTATTTCCATGCTCATAAATCTGCAGGTTGGCTGGGTTCTGGCTGATCTAGGATGGATTCTGTTGGATTTCTCTGCAAGCTGCAGATTGAGCTTAGGTCTGCCTCATAGCTCCCCGAGATGTGTTTATCTCATGGCAATGACAAGACACCCAAGAGGGCAAGCTCAACCTCACAAGCATATTTCAAGCCTTTGCTCATGTCACATCTTCTAGCATCCCATTGTCTAAAGCAATTCATATTGTCCAACATCAATGGAGTGAATAAATGCACAGGGTGTCTAATGGAAAACTGTCTAAAGGTCACATGGAAAAATGTGTGGCTACGGACCAAGACAAGGAACAGAGATCAATAATGCAATAAGCCCCCATGAAGAGGCTCAACCTTCCTTTCATTTAGCTAGAGCCCCGTTTCTACTCCTCCAAATTCCTCTTGTAGAGGGCACATCTCTCGTCTCTCTTGCCTCCCTAAACCAGTCTGTTGGGTAAAACCTATTTGACCAATAATCTTTCCAGTAGATAACTGAGAGATTGTTGACGGGGTGGGAAGTGGTGGTGAGAAAAGACAGAAAAGAAAAAAAAGAACACCTGTCTTAGGATCAGTGGTAAGGACAGTTGAGAAGGCCAGGAACTCGGGAAGTAAAGTTGTTTTTTTCAGTCTTAAAGAAAAGTGATGTGAGAATGTGCCTTCTATGCCTCTGTGAGGTAACTAGCCAAGCCAAGGCTGCTGGTTAGGTCTATGGACAGATACTCAGGTTTTGGTTTGGGGACATGTGATCAAAATGAAACAAGTCAGTCCTTGAAGACATTCTTTGTATCAAGTGGCTTTCGAGGACAAGGCAAGGCCCCCAGAAGAGAGCAGAAGTCAGTAGGTTATCTACAGTGATTATCACAGTGCCTAGCGTATAGGTGGTGATCAATACATACTTTTTGAATGCATTGAAATATTTCATAGCAAAATTCGCCATCAGAGTTTTGGTAATGTTTTGACTGAGTTTATAAACATTGGGCTTTGAAAGCCTGGGAACAGATGACAGGGAGATGAAACACTTAAGAGAAAGAAATGTTTCTCTCATTCTTTCTTTGCTCATATTCTGTTTCTTCTTTCTAGAAATCAACTTTATTGAGATATAATTTACTTTCAATAACATGCCCCAATTTTAGGTGTATAGTTCTAGGAGTTTTGACAAATGTGTACACACATAATGTAGAACATTTCTATCACCTCCAAAAGTCCCTTGGTGCCCCTTCTCTGTCAATCCTTGCCCACTCCTGGCAACAGTCAACCATTGACCTGCTTTCTGTCAACATAGGCTAATTTGCCTATTCTAGAATCCCTCTAATGGAATTATTTAGTCTATTTGTGTCTAGCTTCTTTCTCTGGGCTTAAAGTCTGTGTAATTTATCAGTGCGGTTGCATGTTCATTCCTTTTTATTGCTGAGTATTATTCCATTGTTTGGGCATACCACAATTTTTTCATTCACCCATTGATTGATATTTGTGGTTTCTAGTTTTGGCTATTATGAAGAAAGCTATGAACAATGCTTCACAGGTCTATGTAAACATGTTTTCATTTCTCTCCGGCAAATTTACCTAGGAGTGGAAGTTCTGAGTTTTATGGTAAGTAAATGGTTAACTTTATAAGAAACTCTTCTCCAAAGTGGCTTCACCATTTTATACTTTCTCCGGCAATAGATGAGAATTCCAGTTACTCCACATCCTCACTGGTATTATCAGTCTTCTAAATTTTATCCATTCTGATGGGGGTATCCCCTTCTATTTTAAAAGAGAACTGAGAAATGCTTATTGAATGTGTAAAACGAACATTCTTAGACCTATATTCCTAAATGAGCAAGTTTCTATAGGAAAGACCCTACTCCCCCCCCCCACTCCCCACACACAATGGGGCCTTCTGTTTTCCTGGGAAATAAAACCGTTGCTTCTCTGAGGACAGGTTTTCTATCTCAAAAGCACAACTTAACCGCATGCCCGGGCTTCAAGGCCAGCACGCTGCAAACTCTCAGGCGCGGCGCGGTTTCCCCAAAGAGCTCTCACTCCAAGCCTCTCAATTGCTCTCTTCTCCACTAATAAATAATAATTGTCTTCTCAAAACGCTGGTTGTGGCCGGCGCTGGAGAGCTCCAGCTAGAGGGGAAAGCTGTGGGTTGCCTCTAGGATCCCTCCCGAAGGCGCCCTTTCCCACCCGTTTGGATCTAAAGACACTCCCAGGCTCCCGCTCAAGTTCCCCCAGAAAACCCCAGGGAACGTAGGGCTCCTGGGCACCTTTGGCACCCCTGCAACCGGGGCACCGGGCATGCTCAGAGGGCGTAAGGGAGGCGCAGGCGTGGGCTGCAGTGGGGCTCAGCAGCCGGGAGGTGCCGCTGCGGTCCCACTTCCCGGCGCCTGACCCAGCGCGCAAAGTTGTGCTGGAAGCTGCCTGGGGAAGGAGGGAACGTGCGCGCGGGTGGCGGGGAAGGGGGGGCGGGAGGCGGAG